TATATATATATATATATATATATATATATATATATATATATATATATATATATATATATATATATATATATATATATATATATATATATACACAGCATTGTGGATCTGACCGAAATGTGGGAACCATTAAAAGTTCGTACACATATATGGCTCCGAAAGTTTAATTTTAAAGAGCCAATCAACTCGTGATAGCAATCACAATTCATGTGCAGCAACGAATTGGCTGTTTAATATTAGAATTAATACATTCCAGGCCACGTAGGCGCGGTCGTTAACGTTTGTTAACGCAATACGAATAATTTCTAATACATTACCACAGTTAATTCGGTGAGATGCGAGATAATACACAATGATTCCATTAATTAATAACATTAACTTGGATTATAGCAATGTCAACATAACTCACAAAGAACTGTAAAAATTACTGTAGTATACTGATATTCATGACAGTCATTGAAGAGGCCGGGCTGTGACCCTTATTGGCAGTTGTCCGCCATTTTTTGTTTTGCCCAGTACTACAATCTCCAAAAAAAGAAAAGACGCTCTTGAGTTGCAATACTCAATATTGAAGAGTGCGACAAGTTTGAAATTATATCATTTGGATCTTCGGATTCCTACAAAAATACAACTAGAATTCATACAATAATCTGCAATTACAGAGAATTATAGGACACATAAGATTATTTTAGGGCTCACCAAGAGAGATAAACCCATTAATAGAGCTCTTACACGCATCAAACACAAAATACTTAGCTTTAAAAAATATAACACACCCCTATATACACTTCCAAAAACATAGGCCAATAGTAAGTATAATATACCCATATAATATATTTCAAAAATCAAAATATCAAAATGTATGCTCCCCACAACAAGCTCTCCTAAAAATAAGCTCACTATAAGCACACAAATATTATCATTAAGCGCCAGCGCTCGATCTCCCCATGCATTTACGAGTAAAATAGGGGGCATCAGGGCGCAATGCGACTCTCAATGGGTTAACTAGATAGACCAATTTTAAAACTAGGCAAACAGATAGCTAGAAATAGCGTACTAAAATGAGTAAAATCGCGAAGTTTGGTTGCGAAATTTAAAATATGAAAGAAAATATGGCCTTGCAAAGTTTGCAAATTTTGTATACTTTTTTATTGCGTGCGGAAATTGCAACCATTTTCGGCCCAAATGTGGTAGGAATTTCCGAACGCAACACAAAAGTAATACAAAATTTTCGAAATTTGCAACACTATATTTTCCGCATTTATAACACCATTTCGCAACCAAACTTTGCAATTTTACTAATTTTAGTATGGTCTTTCCAGGAATATACTTTTTTGCCAAGATAAAAATTAGTCTATAACGCATGGGAATTGTCTATTAATAAACTCTACACCCATCGCATTTAAGGACAACACGACCATTATATAATGAGATGCGAACATTTCACTCAGAGATACAATGATTTTTATGTCATTGTGTATATGTGTATATACGGTTGTGTTTCCCAACTCTAAACCTAAACCGTAAACTCAAGCGCGAAAAGTGCCGCATTGGGAACGCTCTCCATCCTAAATCTTGACCGGATTAGGACAATTATTATAATTATAAGTCTATATTGCAATATATGGCGAACACTAAATATGGCCAAACACTGCGTTTTCCCATTGCCCTTTTTGCGCTTATAGAGTTTAAGGTTTTCAGTAGGTTTAAGGGCTAGAGATTCGAAGGACAACCTTTTTTGAATTACCTGTATATATATATATATATATATATATATATATATATATATATATATATATATATATATATATATATATATATATATATATATATATATATATATATATATATATATATATATATGTATATGTATATATGTACTATGCTTTATCAGATATAAAGCACAAAAGCTGGCTTAAAAACGACCCATCTGATGAATTCATTGGCGAATAAATTTTAAAAATAAACGTTGTGTAAGCCGAAAAAGTCAAAGTTTGTGTAAATAAACATGATTTTTTATCACATATAAACCCAGCGACACGGCAATGATTTCTTTTGTCTTTTTCTCATGAATTATTAATTGTTTATTTTGTCTTTTCCTCTTGAATTATTTGATAGCTTACATACAACGCATTTATTTGTCACAATTACTGCGGGTTAGTATTAAAATATGTGCATGTAGAGTTTTTGCTCGAAATTCCTATTCTCCACGATAAATAAGAAAATGAGCATGATGATCCACATTGAGTGATAGACAGGAATGCCTGTATTCTAAAAGCTCACACACACTCAAAGAGTGGAGGTTTAATTTAAACTTCCTTTAAGTGTCAGTGCTGTTTTTGAATAGCTGCATGAAGGGTTAGTATCGTTCCTTACTATGTGACTGCTCACCCTCCAGCTATTTAAAAATAGACCTGACGGTTAAGGATTAAAGTTCAGATTAAACCTCCACTGAGCTAGTGAGGTTTTAGAACACAGGCGGATGTATAAGCAGCCTTTTATGTTCCACAAGGGTAGAAGCAAAAACCTCTGTGTTCTTGTATCTTTTACTAGGCGATTGTAATAGAACAACTGGCATTATAGAAACTGGTTTCTTCCCCAAAGTAAAACACACAGTAGACTTCCCTTGTTCTGTAAGTCAGAATACATTGACTCTGTCTTTAAAAGCAGTGGACAAAACAGCTGTCGTACTGGACGCATACCTAAATTGGAAAAATCCACCACGTAAGTATAATTGATTATTTAACAAAATTTATACTGGTAGCTACTGAACGACAGCCAGGGGTGCAACTTGACTGTAGGGAGATGAGTTTTCGTTGCCTCGAAACAATGGAGCCGGCGTGGTCACCAATCAATATCAGGCTGTAAGTGAATTTTTGCCGACTCATCTGAACCGCTAATTAATATTTCTTTTTTTCGTTTCGTTTAATTAACGTACAATTATTCGTTCGATTTTTCCTTAACAAATTTAACCTATATAATTAATAATTTTTCATCATTATCACTTATATCTTTTTAGTTTTCACTTCAGAAAAATTCAACTGCTTTCCCCCGACATACTGTCGAGAATTGCCCCCTGATAGTTCTCAACACAATACGTTTTAGTTTTCTGTAGTTTTGATAACATTTATACGCACTATAAATCTCTCACAACACGCTGTCTCAAAATTGTTCTCAAAATCACAATAACAACTACCGGTATATTCCGGAACTTTCCGACAGAGTTCAGTTCGGACTCGCGCGTCCCACGCGTAACAAAACATAATATATTATTATATGACAGTTTTCGACACCCTCCCTCCATATAGCTTGTAAAGGATATATGTTCTCAAGGAAACTTTTACTGTAAATTATCAAGTTCTAATGTCTCAATGTTTACACTTGTTCTTCATTTTCGATTTCGGTCATTTCCTGGATTCTGGAACGCGCTGCCACCGCCGCGTCTCGAGTTGGTCGGAAAACAGGAGCTGTTGGGTTAAGGGGTGGAGGGTCCTCTTGACGCTGATTGCACGACAACTCTAGAGGGTACAGGTGATTAACCGCTCTCTCCAAGTGACCATTTGACGTTTTCACCTTTGCTGCACGGATGACACCATCTCTCCCCGGAAAGAGTTCTTCAACTATTCCCAATGGCCACTTTCCTCGGTTTCTTTCATCAGAAGCGATGATTACAACTTCTCCGACAGACAACGTAGACGGCTTCCCATGGTGTTTCGTGTTGTGCTTCTCTCTTAACGCTCGTAGATACTCGGTACTCCATCTTTTCCACATATGATCTTCGCATGTTTTGAGATATCTCGCTCGTTTTCTGAGGTCTCGATTTTCTTCATGGTGAGGTTCTAACTCAGGTAATACGGTAGTACCAACGAACTGTAAACTATTTGGCGTCAGTGTAGGTAACTCTATGTCATCTTCCTGATATCCCAATGGGCGATTGTTTAAAGTCACTTCGATATTTTATCGGTCCAGCAAAATCCACTCCCACGACTTGGAATGGACGGTTACCTTGGGTACGATCACGCGGTAAGTTTCCCACTGGTGGTCTTGCGACTCGTTTGGCGTGGAATCGTCGACACCCGAAACATTTCTTCATTACTTTCTTCACCAACTGTCTCAGCCTAGGCACCCAATATCGCTCTCTAATTTTTGTCATAGTCAAACCAACTCCCCCGTGTAAGGTGCGCTCGTGATCATCTTAATTGGACCAATCTTTTGGTGTAGAGATGGTCATCGGATAGATATATTGGGTATTCTCCTTGCAATCGACCGTTACAATACATCACTCCATCTCCTTCGTTCGTCTTCACATTAAGGCGTAGCTTGTCTTCGGTTG